TCCGATTTCCCTCTCTTCTTTACTTAATTTCTTCCCTTCATTCCAAACACGCCATTAGTCTTTAGGTCTGAAAATTTTGTTTCTCTCTCTCTAATCTTTTGGTATTTTGTAACATTTATGATAATTAGGGTATACATGTGAAAAATTATGACTATCATCATGTCTTAAAGTGAAAAGTGGTTTGGCTTGGGGATAAAATAAAGGATAATATATATTATAATTACATATATGTCAATGTATGAAAAATTATGAAATTTTAACAAACAGTTATAATTTTTTTTAATACTTTATCTGCTAAAGTTATTTATTGATTTAAAAACAGTTATTCAAAAAATTAATATTACAATATAAAATTAAGTATCAATTATCAATCGATATCGTTTTTAAAATAACGGTGGATGATTTTGGTAAAATAAAAAATTTGGATATTATTTATTATAAAAGGGATATAATTATGTAATGAATAGTCCATTGTGTAATAAATACATCATCATTAGCTTTATCTTAAAAAAAAAAGACATTTAGCATAAAATAGAGTTGAATTAAAATTCATTATTGGATTTAATTTGTAAGTCAATAGAGTTGAAATCATGTTAACCATGATTGAAATTCATTATTGGGTTTCATCTACAAGTTAATTGAGTCAAAATTATGTTAACCTTGTTTAAATTTTAAGTAATTTGGCGTACTTTATTATAACATATCTATAAAAAGGATTTATTATTTATTTATTTATTTATTATAGAAAAGTTGTATCTACTTTTAATGATCTTTTTATCTTAAAAGATCTAATGCAATTTTATCTTACAAACAATATTATATTTCAAATGGAATTGTTCACTTTGATCAAATTCTATAATTGCTTTAAATGATGTGAATTCTCAATTATTTAAGATGATTTTTAATCGATTGGACTTCAAATTAAGTGTATAGACAACGATACTTAGTTGACATAATTGAGATGTTATGAATAAGGAGTAATATGAATCAAAATACCATCTTATATAATTAAGTGACAACCCACACGAAATAATTGGATTAGATTAGCGCAAAGTCTAATCAAGAAAATATAGAGTGGACAAAATGAGAATATAATTTTACTTGAGTGAATCAAATAAAAATAAAACTCAAAATAAACAAGCTCTAAATAAATTTTAATAAACACTAAATCTAAAAATATTTAAAGATATTTAGAGTTAATATTAGCAAGTTTGATTGAGATGTACATTTATTTTTGCATTTTCTTTCCTCTATTTGAATATGGATCCTATCTTATCAATAAGATTTATTTCTTGTAAAAAAAATATCCATAAGATTTATTTCAAATAAAATTATGATTTTCAGTTATTAATATTTGTTCTCTATTGCTTATGATTCTTAGTTAACTAAATTTCCTTATTTCTCAATACAATAGTTCCCTTTCTATATGAGAATATAAATAATCTGTGATTTAGGATACTAAAAACTAGAATCATATATCTTTGAAGATTTATATTTCTATATCTTAATGGGCCAATACTAATATCTACTCATTAAATTTATATCAATTTTTTTAAGTAGTCTATAGACTCAACAAAGTAAATTACATAAATTGAATTGAATTCACACACACATATATATATATATATATAAAACCTGTAATTAGATTATGAAATATAAAATTTCAACAAAAGTATGTAGAGTTTAATCGTTAGAGGTGTTTATGTTATGACTCATTATATTCCACTCATTTAACTCATTTGATAAAGATTTTTGATTGGTTCAAATTAATTTAAAAAATTAGAAAAAAATCCATTTTAAAAATGAGTTTATATTATATTTTGACCCGTCTTAACCTTGTTAAAAGTCATATATCCTTTTAAAATACAAATTTTAAACAATTATATACTAATAAAACAACTTATTGGTTTAATAAATAATTTTTGGCTAACATAATTATTTATATTTATATAATTTATCTTAAAATATGTTATGTTAACAATATGCGTTAATTTATGTGTGTCTTATACAATTTTAAAATTTAATGAAGTCAAATTTAGTTAAGTAAAAAACTATAAAAAATTATAGATAATATAAATATACAAATAAATCTATTTCAATTTGTCCTACAGACATTTTATCAGTGAGGTTAAGTACAATTGTGAAATACGTTAGCTCGACTTACACTAGAGTATGTAAGTGGTTAATTTGACTCGGGTTGAATTATTTATGGTTTGTTTATTTTATAATTCGGATTAGCCAATTAGATCAAATCAAATTAATTTTATTATTTTTATATTTAAATTTTTTAAAAAATTAAAAATATTGAACCAAATAAATCCAATAAATTTTGAACCTAAAATTTCGTGAGTTGATTTGACCTATTGACATGTTGGATTGAGTCAAATTAAAGGATTTTACTTGTAGGTCACCTTTTAGAGTCCAGGCAGATTCAAATTGTCTGACGGAGCCATTTGAAATGCCTTTATAATTGAGATGCAAAGTTGCATACTTAACCCTCCTGGCTCCCAGTGAATGTTTGGATACACAGTGAAACTGTGGAAGGAGAAAAATACCATGTAAAAAACATGATAAATCTATAGCAACTATGTATCAGACTATTAGCACTTGGTTTTTACCATGAAAAAATGAATTGCTTTTGTATTACTATTGACGTATAATCGAAACATGGTACTAGCGTGGTGTAGTGGTATAGTATCTCACGGGACAAGGAGTCAAAAGGCAATGATAAATAGACCAAATTTCCAATTTATAATGGAGTGAGTTTTGATGAAACCTATTTGGCTTCTCAGTCCTAAACATAAACATCATCTCATATCATCATTACCTCTACCCAACATCATGACATTATCTCAAACCAAAGTCATCATCAGTGTAGATCTCTTGGGCCCCCTCCTAGTCAACAACAAAATGTGCTAGACCTTCAAGTACCGAATCAGACCAACCCCACAACACACAACACATGTGGGCCCCAACCCCAAACACCTAAGCCATTCAATGTACCGTTACAAAGTGAATGAGTTTTGTGCTGGGACAACTACATAGGGAGGAGACAAAAATACATTCACAACAACACCAATATTTTGACACACAAAAATTATAATTATAAGAAGCCACCCTGCAAGAGAGCACTGCAACTTCAAATTATTCTTCTTCTTTGTATCATTGCTTTTATAATCCTCAGTTGCCCTTTTGGACTCATTCATTGCCCTCCATATACATGTTCCTCTCTCTCTCTCTCTCCCTCTCCCTCTTTACACGTATATGATTTTTTAATGACATCTTCAATCGAGAATCAGAAATTATAATATCATAAATCCATGTTTAAGGGATGATTAAGATACATGGGCATGGCATGGTAATTCCCCGAGGCTGCGGAAACAGATAGGTGAGAGAGAGAGAAGTAAAAGCAAAGAGGCAGGGAAAGGAAAGGCTTTTACACGTGATAAAGAAAGAACCAAAAGCGCTTTGCATGCGTGTATGTATAAGATCATCATAATCATCATCAACCCAGCACCTTCCCTTTCCTTTCCTTTCTTCATCCTCTTCGAAATTCTCAATCTTCTGCTTCCACCAACATACCCTTCTACTATTTCTACCTCTCTTTCACGTCTAACTTACTACCCATGCCCTCCTTTTCAAAGAGGGTGAGTTCAAGTTTTCCTCTTTTTCTCCCCTTTCTTTCTTCATTCTCATGCTCATTGTCACTTGTTGCTTGCCGGGGTTTCACTTTTGTTTCGACTTTCTTTAACTTCAAGGCATTTAATGGAAAACATATTGCTCTAAAGCGTTAACAGCATTCTCTCTCTCTTTTCTTAGTGAAAATCTTTGACACAGTAATTTTGTTTTCTTCTGCTTGGTTCTTTTCCTTTTCTCAATTTCATGGTAGTCCTGTTTAGTGAAGCTTTCAAATTTGTCTACACAATCCATACATTGTTCTGTTGTCTTTTTTAAAAGTGTGGCTATGTAGCTGTATATGTTCGTCGTCTTGGTAATTTTCAGTTTTTGAGACGCCTGTGGGAACTGGTTTTGTCTTCTGGCTATTTCCATTTTCTGAGTTTCTCGTATGTCTAATCAAATTTTATCATTAATTCTTCTCTTCCTTGCTCAAACTCATTGGCTTCCTCACCGGACATTCGTGTGTTTTTTTATCTTTTGATTTGATTTTTTTTTTTGTCTTTTGCTGTGATACCTCGTGTTGCACAGTTAATGTTTTGTGCTGCAAATTTGAACTGAGATTTCCTTGTTTTATGCCTTTTCAACTTTAAGCAGAAGGCAGAAGATGTTGTCAAAATTTACTTTTGTTTGCTTTATTTTGCTCTATGGACTTCTATACTACCACCATAACCACTTTTGGATTTACTCGCTGAAACAAAGGTGAAAATATTGGATTTTTCTATTTTGCAATAGAATGGTAATGCTTGTATTGCAATACAATACAATGCCAGTTTCAGTTTCACCCTTCCTAATTTTCTTTTGCTGACTTCATACATCAAATCAATCCATTAATCATTCTCATTAGTGCACAGTAATTAACACTAATTGAACCAACATAATTGCATTTTCCATCTTTGTATATGCATTCTTAGCTGAAGCAATTGGTACTGTTTGGCAGATATAACAAGCAAAAGGTAGAAGAGTGTGAAATTGGTTTTTGCTGTGCAGCTTGTCATCTTTGACAAGTGTGTTGTACTGTTGTTGTTTGTACACATAAATACTCATCTACAAAGGCAACATGCCTGTGAGGCAGATGAAAGATAGTTCCGAGCAACACCTTGTGATCAAACCCCATTTGCAGAATCCTATGAATCCGGCCAAGAAGACAACGAAAGCTGCTCAAAACGGCAAAGATCCACCACCCCAAGAAAACCATAACCAAACTTTGTCTCACGCAAAGAACAAGGGAAGAAGAAGGGGGAGAGGTGGCAGAAAACCTGATCAAGGAGATGTTATGATGAGGCCTAGTTGCAGGCCATGTACTGCGCCACTAACAAGTAGGGCAAATGGGAATGTTGAAAATGGTTGCATCACTGATACTGGTTTTCCCACTTCAAGCAAGTCCTTGAACTTTGCTCGTAGACCTGGGTATGGACAAGTTGGGACAAAATGCATTGTGAAGGCTAACCACTTCTTTGCAGAGTTACCAGACAAGGACTTGAACCAATATGATGTAAGATTAAGATCCTTTCTTTGGTATACGTATATCTATCACTACACTGATAAGGCAATTAAACTGGATCTTCTGACTGCACAACTATTGGGCCCTCTATGGCAGCATGCATTTAAGTTCATCCTGTGATTTTCCTCTTATAGGACTCCTGCTTTTGCAGTCCTTTTCTTGTAGTGCCATCAATGAGACTTTTAAATTTGGCTTGAGCCTTTTGTTCCCTATTATTATTATAGCTTTTGCTTTAATTTAATGCCATTATGCATTGCTTTATTTTGAAGGTTACTATTACCCCAGAAGTGTCTTCTAGAACAGTAAACAGGTCCATCATAGCAGAACTTGTGAGGCTGTATAAAGAATCTGACTTGGGGATGAGACTTCCAGCATATGATGGCAGAAAAAGTCTGTACACAGCAGGGCAGCTTCCCTTTGCTTGGAGAGAATTTAAAATTAAGCTTGTAGATGAAGAGGATGGAGTTAATGGCCCCAAGTAGGGATTTATTGCCTATAGTCACTTTTAATGTTTTTCTCTTCTTCTCTGTCCCGTATCAACTCACACACAGACACACAAACTCCCCCTTTGTACTGTAACCAGATAAAAATGAACAGTTTTTTATGTGCTCGAGTAAGTTCAATTTCAACTGACACTTTTGGTCAAATTTTAGAAGGGAACGAGAGTACAGGGTAGTGATCAAGTTTGTTGCTCGGGCAAACTTGCATCACCTGGGCCAGTTTCTAGCTGGTAAGCGTGCTGATGCACCACAAGAGGCACTTCAAATTCTTGACATAGTACTAAGAGAGCTGTCAACTAAGAGGTAGTATGTCAAGGGGATTTAAACTTTGTAAATTCAAGAAATGAAAAATTTAATGAAAGTGTGAAGCTTAAGTTCTTGTTTATCTTACCAAGGCTGCATTTTCTAAAGGTATTGCCCCATTGGAAGGTCCTTCTTTTCACATGATATTAGAACACCACAACGGCTTGGAGAGGGATTACAGTCATGGTGTGGATTTTACCAGAGCATAAGGCCTACACAAATGGGCCTGTCCCTCAATATTGGTATATTATTTATATTGAAGGCTTGTTTAGTTTGAGAAATTGTTTTTGATTTTCAAAGATTTGTATAGGAAATAGGAAAGCAACATTTTTTTGTTGTACGAATCTTTCAAATAGAAAACAAAATGAAAATAAGGTGACATTTTTGTAATTAAAAGTTAAAGTTGAAAATGAAAACAAAAATTATTTTCTCTAACCAAGTAATTTTCATTTCTCTTCATTCTGTCCTTGCATTTCATAGATATGGCATCTGCTGCATTTATTGAGCCTCTTCCAGTAGTGGAATTTGTTGGGCAGCTATTAGGAAAAGATGTGCTTTCAAGACCATTGTCAGATGCAGATCGCATTAAGGTACTTAGTAATATGGACAGAGCTAGCTAAGTTCATCTGTTATGTTGTCAATATCGCTCAATGTATATAGCTACTTTTTGATGTCTAACAGATTAAGAAAGCCCTTAGAGGAGTTAAAGTTGAAGTGACCCACAGAGGAAGTGTGAGAAGAAAATATCGTGTTTCGGGGTTGACTTCTCAACCAACAAGAGAACTTGTGTAGGTTTTTTGTCTTTCGGATCTCTTCCTACAAACAATCTTTGAAGTTATAGTGATTTAACTTTTTCCATTAGCTCACTAAATAATAAATATGCATTTCTTTAGGTTTCCTGTTGATGAGAACTCAACTATGAAATCAGTGGTTGAATACTTCCAAGAGATGTATGGTTTCACTATTCAATACACTCACCTTCCTTGCCTTCAAGTAGGAAACCAAAAGAAGGCCAACTATTTACCTATGGAGGTAGGGAGAGTTCCTGGCAATTGAAATAGTTCAACATTCTCATAATGTTTTTGTTTAATGTTATTTGCTTTTGTTTCTGCAGGCATGCAAAATTGTTGAGGGGCAACGTTATACAAAAAGATTGAATGAGAAGCAAATTACTGCTCTGTTAAAAGTTACTTGCCAGAGACCTCGCGATCGGGAAAATGACATTTTACGGGTATTTAATTTTGAACCTTCACTACAACAACCAAGCCTTTTATTTAAATGTTAAACCTTCACGGAAAAAAAAATATGGCCACTTCCCACCCGTCGCTCCTTTTTTTTTTTTTTTTAAAAAAAAAAAGATTATACTTATATCTCATTGTAGAACAATTAGAAAATGAAGGGGCCTTAAAGTTAATACAGTTTTCATGATTTGTTGCAAAAGTACTTACCAAACTTGTGTTTTACACTTTTACTCATCACGTGTATGACAATGTAGTTATTGGAATATTTAGATAAAGATTTGAAACTTACGGAGGTTTTATGTGACAAATGAAACCTTGGATTAAAATGAAGGAAAAGTGAATTCAAGAGTCTATGATGTTTAGAGAGAGAGAGAGAGAGAGAGATTCTCAACTACATGATACTGTTGGTCTTTCATAGTAATGATTCGTTTATTTAATTTTATTTTTATGTGGTGGTTGTGCGGGTCATACAAGCAGACCATTCAGCATAATGCTTATGATCAAGATCCTTATGCAAAGGAATTTGGAATTAAAATCAGTGAAAAGCTAGCTTCCGTTGAAGCACGAATTCTTCCTGCCCCTTGGGTAATGTGCTTCTCCTTCTAAAGATCTGATTTTTCATATACAGAAAATTTAGTTTACCTTTCCTTGTCATTCACTGATTTCAAGTACTTCTGACTGCAGCTTAAATATCACGAAAGTGGGAAAGAAAAGAACTGTTTACCCCAAGTTGGTCAGTGGAATATGATGAACAAGGTAATGTATATATTACATTTATCTGCTCCCAAGTTGTTATGTAGTATAGCTGTTGTTGGCCAATTCTCTTTAGGGCTTGTTTGAATAAACTTATCTAGAAACAATTATAGGAGTCATAAATATGAAAGAAAATAAATAACCTTCTCCATAAACTAAAACTAGTTTATACATAAGTTAAAAATAAGATTTTGAAGAAATTAATAGGAAATATCTTCTACAAATACCTGGTGGAGAAGTTTATTTCATTTCCCCCCCTATTTTTCTCTTTTAGAAGTACTTTTGGATAAGTTTACTCAAATAGATCCTTAATATAATTTTAGGGACAAAATTTTGTTATGTTGATATTGCTTAAGCATAGTTAATCTATTTTAAAGTTACTATTCATATTCTTAACACACAAAAAGGAAGTAAATAATCCTATTATTAAAACCCTTTATAAAGCTGTTTTTTTTTTATTTTATAATTTTTTTTATAATTTTTTACTTTGGTCCAATTTAATTGAAATCATGAAATTCCAAGGCTGCTATTCTTGTTGTTTGGATTATGTTATGATATTTGTCTGAGAGTAATATATTTATATAAGAGAGGTATTTATATCTTGTTTTTAAAGGATTCTCTTATCAATAGAATGTATTAACTTTATAAACTCTTATTTTATCTTTCATTTTATCGATGTGAGACTTTATTTATATTCCAATACGTGCTTTTTAGGCCTAAAAATTTTGTGATGGTTCACAGTATTGATATCTGTCTCCTAAATCTTGAATGACAGAAAATGATTAATGGAATGACTGTTAGCCGGTGGGCATGCATAAATTTTTCACGGAGTGTGCAAGATAGTGTTGCTCGCACTTTTTGTAATGAGCTTTCTCAAATGTGTCAAGTATCTGGCATGGTAATCCTCAGTCTGTTTTATTATTGTTTTGTCCATGTTTGAAGTGTAATTTTTTTTTATTTTTTTTTATGGTATTTAGTAACATGTCTTTTCTTGTAGGAATTTAACCCAGAGCCTGTTATCCCCATATACAATGCCAAGCCTGAACAGGTGGGAAAAGCTTTGAAACATGTTTACCATGTTTCAGCGAGCAAAACTAAAGGAAAGGAGTTGGAGCTTTTGTTAGCAATATTGCCAGACAATAATGGATCTCTCTATGGTAAGCCACATGAGTTGATAGTAACTTTACAAGATTGTGGTATGGTACAATCACTGATTCCTACTTGCTTGAGTTGACAGAACAAAAAAGGGTATGTTTTGAGTTAAAATGCAGAAGTTTCATTTAAATATCTTCTGTTTTCAGGTGATCTCAAGCGTATTTGTGAAACTGACCTTGGCTTAATCTCACAATGCTGTCTGACAAAGCATGTCTTCAAAATCACTAAACAGTACTTGGCTAATGTGTCTCTGAAGATCAATGTAAAGGTTTGTTTACTGCATATTCCTGATTAAACCATTGTTTGAACTTTAGAGTCTAATTTTCAATTTCTGTTAATTATTAGGCAAATCCCTGTCCACGTTTTTCTTCGTTATTGCATGCATAACCTCAATTTTTTTTTAATAAATACATGGACACTAGTTAGAAATTGTTAGCCAAAGACACGGCTTAAAACCCCAACCCATGGTGTAGAAATTATGATGCATTTATGTTATTTTATCTTTAGCCAATGTAAAAATCACTCTTCTCATAAATGCTTTAAATAATTAACTAGTGGTCACTCACCCTCCTCTTGATGCAGATGGGAGGTAGAAACACTGTACTTCTTGATGCTGTAAGCTGCAGAATACCATTGGTTAGTGACATACCAACCATAATTTTCGGAGCAGATGTAACCCACCCTGAAAATGGAGAAGACTCAAGCCCCTCAATAGCAGCTGTATTTATCTAATTTATTTATCTTCATTTATCTAAAATTTGTTTTATAGCATCTTAATAGTCATTGAGGGTTTTGGCAATTGATAATGGTTGCATAATCTATAGGTAGTAGCATCCCAGGACTGGCCTGAAGTGACAAAATATGCTGGTTTAGTGTGCGCCCAAGCTCACAGACAGGAACTTATACAGGATTTGTACAAAACATGGCATGACCCTGTTCGTGGCACAGTCAGTGGTGGCATGATCCGGTACTAATAATATCAATTTTACTATGTTAATTCTGAACATTGTTCTAGGTAGTGTGATGGGATTCAATTAAATTATATCTTAGTTTATCATTTTCATGTGTCCTTTTTTGTGCAGAGATTTACTGGTTTCCTTTAGAAAGGCAACAGGACAAAAGCCTCTGCGGATTATATTTTACAGGTCATTATGTTTAATTTATGATGAAAGTTCTATGATGCATGTATGCGTGCTTACCTAGGAGCATGGCTTTCTGAAACATTATAGTTTGATGGAAATATTGGTTACCTGTGTATTAACATTGAAATTTGAACAGGGATGGTGTAAGTGAAGGACAATTTTACCAAGTTTTACTCTATGAGTTGGATGCGATTCGAAAGGTCAGGATCGTTTACTTTTTCTCATCATACACTTGTATTCTTTTTACATCTAAGATATGTTCTGAGAAGTGGTATCTGTTTAGGCATGTGCTTCCTTAGAACCAAACTACCAGCCTCCTGTAACTTTCATAGTTGTGCAAAAAAGACACCATACCCGGTTATTCGCAAACAACTACAGGGACAGAAGCAGTACAGATAGGAGTGGGAATATATTGCCTGGTATGTTGCACATTCCTGAAAAGATTATGTACAGAAAGGTATTTCTGAATCATTCTTTGCTTTTAAAATGATTATCTAATGGATTGGAGTTTTCTTGTTTTAAATTGTGTTTCAGGGACTGTTGTTGATTCCAAAATCTGCCATCCAACAGAATTTGATTTTTATCTCTGCAGTCATGCTGGCATCCAGGTAGAAGATAGTTTGTATTTTTCTCCCTTCTATACCAGGGTCCATAACTTTCAAACTTGAGAGAATGAGCAAAGTATTATCAATAAGAAGTTTTTTGTTGGTTTTTCTCATGTCTATTATTTGATATTATGCAAAATCATTTGCCTGGTGTTGTTCTAGGAATATTTTTCAAAGTTCCCCCACAAAGCTAGAATTGATATCCCTGATTTGAAAATATCAATCTTTATTAGCATTTAGCATTCTGATTTCTGACTCTCCCCTGCATTAGTGTGGTTCTGATGTCTAGCACACAAGTATGTCTTAAGATATGAACTTATTTATTTTTAACATAGGAGGATTACAGATTAACCCAGAGTGAAACTCAGAATCAAGATTAGCTTTACTAATATATTGGAAAAACTAAACCTGTGTTTCTATTATCATTCAGGGTACCAGTCGGCCGGCACATTATCATGTTTTGTGGGATGAAAACAACTTCACAGCAGATGGAATTCAGTCTTTGACAAACAATCTGTGTTATACATATGCCAGGTGTACGCGCTCGGTATCTGTAGGTGAGGCTGTGTTTCAATTCATATGTAGTTTTTTCAGTTTTTGGTCTCAGTTATGTTATGACCCTTGTCCTTACCCTTAAGACTAGTTGAACAGCTATAGTAGTTTTACAACAGCGTTGAACTTTAACCTTTGTATTTGTCTTGGATAATTCAAAGCTTAATTGGGTAGAAATTGTTGTTGTGCAGTTCCTCCAGCATATTATGCACATTTAGCAGCCTTTCGAGCCCGGTTCTATATGGAACCAGATATGCAAGAGAATGGCTCTAATGGTGATGGTAATGGTCATAGTTCCAAAGGAACACGTGTAGCTGGAGATTATAGTGTCAAGCCATTGCCAGACTTGAAAGAAAATGTGAAGAGAGTAATGTTTTACTGTTAGACTTCTAGGTAGGTAAGTGAAACGATCATGGAATTCAATGTTCACCTCACATTACTTTGTACATTAGTTGTGGTTCATGCATAGCAGCTAGGTTTCCCGTGATAGATGCATGATTACAGTTCTTTAGGCTTAGTTAGTTTTAGAATGAATTCCTACAAGTATTATTAGGTTTTATAGATGCTGTCAAATTTGGCATTGTAAAAATATTCTGTCAATCATTGTAGAAAATTTTGCCATAAGGCCTTTACAAATGTTGAAGAGTAGAAATTTCCTACTTCATCTTTGCAAGGAGGGGAAGTTTTTCTAATTAGTCTAATTTGCAAAACATTAAGTTAGCATTCATGATTATCATGTACAATAAATATATACATTAAGCCAGAGAATATTGGGATACAAGTTAGTGTAACGTTTCATTGCTAATTTGCTTTCTCTCCATGTGAATAAATAACCAAAAATATTGCTGAAAAAAAAACGATAAATTATATTATTCAATAAATATATACAACAATAAGAATGTCTACAATAAGAGAGGAAGAAAAGAAGAAAACATGCAATAAGAAGAGTGGTGTCATGTAGAGGTACATAAAAAGGAGGGTTGTATGAGAAGTTAAATAATTTTGTTAAATGAATATGAATATAATATCTAAAAAATCATATTTCTCATGCCAAGAGGGGATGCACTAAATTGCAAACCGTTGCATGGCTTTTATTTTATTCAAAAAGCAATGTATTTACATAATATTTGCTTCTTAAACATATTATATATATATATATATATATATGAGTTAATCACTTATACATTATAAGTATAAATTTTTTTTACATCGATAACGTATAGGATATTAAGTCTATATTGAGAAACTTTATAACATGGATATTTTTCTACTCAACTCTTGATAGATTACTTCTAAGTATGTCGCAAAATTATGGATCATACGTTGTATAGATATACTAATACACAAGTCTAACATTGTTTAAATGTACGAACTACGAAGTAATGTTTGACTCGGGTGATAGGAAACTTAAATTCTGCTGGTGATAATCCTTAAAATGTCAGAAATCCGAGCTGGTGTGAAAGTCCCTGTGCGATAGGAAAAGTTCATTAAAGCCTACCGATAAATTAAAGTGTTGTATTAAATAAAAAATGGGAAAGCATACCAAAAATAAATTGTTTACTAATGTACAATTGTTCAACTGAGATGAGCAGAACAATTGTTTGTTGCGATTAGACAATATATGGTCCTTCTAGAGAGGCGTGCAGTTATATATTGAATTGGAAATGAAGTATGCAGCTAATCAGAAAAAAAAAAAGAAAAAAGGAAGGTAATTTCAATTTAAGCCAAATCATCAATTCAGCTATTATTTGCAATCAGTAGTCATACGTATAGAGAATCCACAATATATTTTCATTTAAATAAGATTTTAACTTGATAAAAAATTTAAATAGGTTTTTAAGTTACCACTTTCACGTAATTCTACTAGTTATAATTGCATAAGAATGTGATGATAACTAAGAGTACGTTGGAGGAAAGCATTTTTAAGATAAAAAAAAAAAAAAACATGAAATAAGTTTTTGCATAATTTAAAATTGATTTGTGTATAAGTCACTTTGTAGTTTTTTTTAAAATCTTATTTTTAATTTATCAAAAAAATTATTTTAATTTCTCTTTATACCAAGTCTGGTTGTTTAAACTTTTTTTATTTAAAATAAGTAATTTTCTATTCTTTTTAAAGAAGTAATTTCTATATGCTTCTTAAAAAATTGTTTTTATATAAAATTATTTGTTTAAAAACACTTCTTTAAAAGTTTAAATAAATGGGCCTATTATCTTCTTCTGGAAGTGTTTCAAGAAAAATTTATCCAAACATATTTTAAGAAGAAAAAAAGTTAAAGGGAATGAACATATAGAGAGAAAGGCAAAGTAGGGATTGAATGGGTGGTGAAGGAGGGCAAAAGTGATGAGGTAGTGTATGATGGTCTAGAGGAGTAGAAGGTTCAAGGAATGAAGAGGAAGAACATGTGACAGACCAAAATATACATGACTTCAATAGCAATCAACCAATGTTTATCTTTAATACGTAGATTATTAAAAAAGAAATTCCAATTAGAAAAAACATAACATAACATTGTAAACAAATATTATGTAAATTGATATAACGATCGATATTGACTGTCATTCTCTTTTTCTTTTGTTGCATAGAAAGGGCTGCATTGAAAGGTACACTACAAATTAAACATGCGGACATATATTGTTTTGGACAACAGAGCAGAGATGATGAGACAAAGGCTGCAAATGTCGACGTTATTGCAAGCCCATTGGTACATACAACTACTGGAAATGGATTTCCTGACTTTGTGGAGGAAAAGTTAGGGTAACTTAATACATTTTAACCGTTAGATTTGTAATAAATGATCAGATTGTGACACGTGTACATTTAAGTTAAAATATATATTATACACGTGTCACGATCTGATTTATTTTTATACATTTAATGGTTGAGATGTATTAAGTTACCATAACTTTATTTTCCCAAATTCAGATAATCGGGATCCACAACTACTTCCCTCTCTCCATATCAACCAGCCCACATTCTTGCATTTCAATTATTTTTCAGACAAAAAAGACAACATATCTATTTTAGTATGAAATTTTGTGTTCGGTTTTGGTGTGTGAGAAAACCTTTTGAATCGATGACAGCCATTACGTAAATGGGATTAATCTATCATCCAATGAGTTGTAAAATATATGTGACTGAACAAAAGAAAATAATAGTTCAATTTGAAAAGAATCAAATTTTTTTTATATATATTTTAATACTTCTATATTAAATAATGCTCACATCAAATAAAAAAAGATGCACACTTAATGATAAAAAAAATCATAAAACTTTTCAAGATTAAATAAATCATATAATTTAATATTTATATATTAAATAATTTTCACAAGTAAAAAAATTTAAATTTTTACAATTAAAGATGCACACTTTTTTTTCTTTTTTTTTTAATTTTTTCTTTTTTATTTACAAGCATGTTTCAATGTCAAGTTTTTACGGGAGTCACTGCTCTTGTTTGGTAATTGAGAGCAACTTCAATGGAAGTTGTTTGTCCCATGAAGTAACTCAAGTCTCGGTTTCTTGTCATTGTAGAACTCTGATGTGGCAACATGAGTTGCTTGAAGAAGAGAGAGTTGTTTCTTCAAGCAATCGTTCCTTACAAGATTTTAAGCAGATTTTATTAAACATATTTAGAAACGTTTCAGAAATAATAATGATGAAAATTAATTTCATATAATATTTATGTATTTATTATTGCTTTATTTTATTTTTAATATCTACTTATTGTGTATTTTTTCTCGTAATTTATTTTCTTTCATTATAGCACAATTATCCTTTTTAATAAAAATTTAAATTTGGTTCATAAATGATTAGAAAAAAAATTCTAAAAGTTGAATTTCTTAAAGTTTCTTACCATTGAAGTAAATTTGTGTTTGAGTTGCTTAATACTGACATGATACACTAGGGACCACTTTTTTTATTTTTCAATGCATGAAGCAACTCAAATAAGTTGCTTCCATTGAAGATGCCCTGATTAATTTTGCAAACAAAATCAGAAAAAAGCTAATAATAGATTAGTTAATGTTTTTACAATATAATTTATCATTAACAGAAATACATTAAAAAAATAATATAAATAAATAATTTGTTTTCAGATTATACAAACTCGTCTAAATTCATGAAAATAAATTTATGATTTTTTTTCTTACCTCAATAAATTTATTTTGTAAGCTTATCAAAATAATTTATTTTTTAACTTAATTCAACAAATTTTATAGTCAAATTTATGATACATATAAACTTTTAAGTGATAAAAACTTATTAAATAAGTATTTAATAAAGTTGTTAATCAAGCACATCCTAAGTTTAAACCAGACACATAATCGTCCATCCATGAGGTGATTTATTACATGCATATTCACTTACAAGTTTTGTTTTAAATAATGAATGAATATCGATTAATGGCGTTTTGTGCCGAGATAATTAAGGATGATGTTGTTATAATTATTATGGCTATATATAGTGAAAGTACATATAATAATGAATAATGGTGTAGCTGTAGATGTAGTGGAGGCTTTAGGTGTTGGTTTTTTCTACTGGCTGTCTGCGGGATGTTTTGGTGCGTCATCGTCATGGCTACTGTCAACTTTTTGAACATGCATGGAAAATATTCAATTGCATGGACCATTTTTAATTTCTATGTTATTTAATGCTCTATCTTTCTTCTTTATAAAACTTCAACGAAAAGTATTATTTCATTATTTCTATAAGAATTATTTTTAATAAAAAAATTCTTAATTAAAGTAATTTCTCTCAATAATTCAATAAAGTAGTTGATGGTAGTAATTAAGTGTTTTATTAATGTTGTTATAAGTTGTTTAAAAAATGAATTTAGGACAGATATAATATTATTAAATAAGTTAACCAAAATTTTTAATCTTATTTACTTAGATAATTGAAAATGGATAACAAGAAATACTTAGGGAGAGAAAGAGAAAGAGATTCAAGTATGATAAGTGAAATTAGGTGAAAAAAGAGATAGATAAAAAAAATAATAGTGTTATAAATTAGATTTAGGATATTAAATACTAAAAAAATATATTTTTAACTCAATAAGTCTTTCTAAATAATAATTATAAGGTATGTCTTAGAATATAAATTAGCTATCAATATATTGATAGATATTTTATATAAATAATATAATTATAAAAAATAAATAAATTTAGAGATACAGTACTCTTGTTCGGAGAGGGATGTGGTATACATCATCTGTGCTTTAAGTTGGTATAAAGTATCTCTTCTTTTAATATGACTAATGGGGATATATATTGATCTTACGTGCTCAATGAAGCAAATCAATTAAGTAGTAGATGAGTTAGCCAATTTTTATTTGTCATTAAATGAAAATATGTGTATTTGACAAATAAGAATTTATTTCTTTTTGTTTGGATATATTATTAAAGTTGATGTAACTTTAACTTTTTACTCGTGTAGTTTTTAATTAATCTATATTGGTGTGGTTTACCCCTTCAATTCACAAGGAAAAAATGTAGTTTTTGAAAATAAGTTCTTATTTTTTTGATAAACAGTACAAAAACTTCATTCATTTTTATTTATTTATTAATTTTATCACATTATATTATTTATCATATTTTTCTTTATTATTTCTTTCTTTTTCCAGGTGTCTGGGGCAAAAACATTCTTTCATTACCAAGATGGAATGCTCAATGAGTTCATGTGCAAACTTAGGGAATCATAGACTTGCTCAAAATTGCAAAACTGTAACTGAAACAATATAACGTATTGATTATTTCATATTAGTGAGTGCATTTTATTTGGCATCGGCATTAATT